TTTTTTTTTTTTTTTTTTTTTTTTTTTTTTTTTTTTTTTTTTTTTTGGCACGCTACAGATCAAATTTCTAAGGGCTATACCCATCAACTCAAGAAAATGTTTATATTTGATTAAAATATTTAAACAGTTACGATATAGAATTTATAGAATTTAGTCCACTGCATTCAACAATTGGATTATCTCATATATGGAAGAGATTCTATACTTTTAATGCCTTGCAGGTGACAAGCTAGCTACAGGTGACTCGTGATATTTGTGAGTTTTGGTTCAGGTCTCTGTGCCAATGTTTAATTTCTATTTAAACACAAAATTGGAGACTTAATTTTCACACACTAAGTAGCATATTTGAACAAATAAATAAAATTCTACATGCTGGCTTCTTTCATTAACAGTGAAACAACTCAATTATTGCATTAACCATTCAATGGAATTGCACAGGTGAAATGAAAGAAATAAGATTTTATTGTTTTTTTCCAAAAGCAGTTCATATTCTATAGCACTATCCAATATTCAGCATTATGTTAGCTTTTATCTATAATGAACAAAAAATATGTAGAAGTTTCTCAATTTACCTTCTGTTCTCAACTGATGGATGGCATCCGCACACGTCCTCATAAATATCTGAGCATCTTGATCAATCTGATCACGCTCTGTATCCGTCATCCTCACATATTCAGACATAATATGGCTGAAAAAAAAAAAAAAAACAGGAAAAACTGTCATTTCAACAATCTCCCAAATTTAGGCCTCCCTCCCACTAACCATCTCCATAGAGGCTTTTTGTCAACCTTGATTTTCACACAAAAAACTCAGATAATTTATTCTTAAACGCATAATACCCACAATTCTGACAAAAATGCCACTTTTATAAAGCTGTGAGGTTTTAAAGACTGTGACTGGGAAATGATTTGGGAAGAACTCGGTACTTATACCGGTTAGGCATGTTTCACTTTTAAAAACAAGAAAGCAAGTAGGTTAGAGGAACAGCCCAAGCACCAAAAGGAAGAACATAGTATTGGAACTAAATTCCACTTAAATGCATGTTTTTATTATTCAAAATGCTTAAGTTCATTTTTAAAGTAGGTATGCTATGCCACCTGTGAATTCAAACAGTAGGGGAGGATTATAAGAAAATAATGTATTTTTAATATGAAGTAGACTAAATTCTTTCCTGGCTGCTTACTTCTAGTTTTAGAGAATATATTCAATAGTTTCTAGTAAGATTAATGTATATTTTTGTTAACAAGTTAACAAAAATGGACTCCAGTTACAAAAGGGCAAATAATACCAGTGAATAGCAAGCAAAACTTTCCATTCAATGCGTCCAATGAATCAGTGGGTTTGCTCCAGAAGACTTGAGGATTTTTTTGTTTTCTTTCTCCTTGTAAAATATTAATATATTACAGATATCCATTAGAAAATGGAATTCTATATGAAGGTATATAGTAGTGATTACACTGTTTTAGAACACAGGTCAATAAAACTTTGCTAAAGTGCCTTATCCAATGTTCATCATGGGTTTCTTGATCATATAGTAGTTATACAACATTGTATCTCTCATTTAAAAATCAGTAAGGACAACCTTAATTTATATAATCATTTTAAGGCAGATTTTGTTTATATAAGAAAGCTTTCCCACCTGTTCAAAGTATGTATTATATAATTATGTATACACACACGAATAAAAAGAGCTCATCTTCAGTTTGCAAGGGCACAACAGCCTGATGTCCCTTACATACTTCACCCTGATGAAGCCAAACCCTCTCTACATCCACTGCCATTGCAGCCATGGGAATACCTGCAACTACTCATAGTCACTCCACTATCATCTCACATGTTATACAATAAAGCAAATTTCTTCCCACATCTTCAGCGTACAGTCACTGTGATACTCCCAGATTTCCGTCTCCTACTTTCAGGCTAACTCCAGCATTTCTGAGCATTAGGTCAAGATATCAGGTGGCTGATAGCCTTTCCACTGGTCAATGAACATGACCTATTGATAGTGGAATATATGTGGAATACAAACTAGCCAGGTTTAAACATGGGTTAAACATATTAGGACAGACCTCTTGCCCCACTCGTACTCTTTTATTTACTATTCTGAGGCATAAAGCAAGTTCTCAGCATCTGTAAAGCCAGGACAACCCTTTTGTGTGCTCACCTCCACACAGGCCCAGCCCAAAGGGGACTGCACGATCATTTGGTACGGTATAACACGCAGCATTTTTCAGCAAGCCCCAACTAGAGAGTTGTGTGAGTAGGCAGGGCCCTCAAATTCAGCTAGAGGAGTAGGTCGGAGTAGCAGCTTCATGACGGCTCCTTCATGAAGCAAAAGTCTCCACTATTCTTTTTCATGCCACGATAATCAGTTTTGGCTACTCTGATACTGAACGTAATAAAACCTCTTTTATTTATATGTCCAGGTTTCTGTGCCCTATCCAACCTTGTGGCATTTGAACAGTTCTATGTTTCCATGAATTTTAAACACGACAGGGTAAAAAAAGAAGAAAAAAAATACAAAATCCAGACCATAATATTCTTTTAAATTAGATTTTAAAATAGTGCCTCAGGCATGTTTTATTTTTAATAATAGGGTAATTATTAGTAATCTAATTATACACTGTGGATAGCTAACAGGCCTGACACTGACAAGTTGTTCGGCTACTTTTTCCAGGTGCTAATATAAAAATACAGTAGACTATATTTTTAAGTAGGAGCAGTACTGCTAGAAAGGCGACAAAATGCAGTTTAATCCAGAAGGAAATAAATAAATAAATAAGTTTATAGTCACTTATAGGTGCCACAGTATCTGGTGCCAGCACTTTTAAACAAGCTTTGGTCAAACCACTCAGTCATAGAATCATAGAATGCCCAAGGTTGGAAAGGACCTCAGAGGTCATCGAGTCCAACCCCCCTGCTCACGCAGGGTCACCTAGAGCACGCGGCACAGGGCTGCATCCAAGAGGGTTTTAAAGATCTCCAAAGACGGAGACTCCACAACCTCTCTGGGCAACCTGTTCCAGTGCTCTGTCACCCTCACAGTGAAGAAATGCTTCCTTAAGTTCCTGTGGAACTTCCGATGCTTCAGTTTGAAGCCATTTCCTCTAGTCCTATCCCTGCCCACCACTG